ATTTTAAAGAGGAAACCTCAAACAATAATTGATTAGAAATTAAGTGTTAACGAGCAGTTGGACAGGTGTACCTAATAAAGTGGCCGGTGAGTGTATATACACACACACACACTGTATGAGTGTATATTATATATATATAACTTGATGAAGTGCAAATTAAATTACAGCTGTATCTGCAAATGTATTTGATCATGGTTTGAACTTTTTAAATCAATATTTTAAAAACATGGTAAAACCAGAAGCTGCACTTCATTTTAGTGACAAACTTTGGCATTTTTGATGGGTTGCCTTCATTTTTGCTTCTACTTTTAATTTAAAATAGGTTTCCATTCTTGGCAGGTTTCTAAGGTTCTTCTTCTACATATTAAAAAAAGTTGTTAAACATCTGAGTGGCGCACTACCGCTACTAGTGGTGAGAAAGTGTCTTGCACCTTGTTCAAAATCAATGTGGTCCCGCGGCCCTCTGTGGTCCAAAGTTAAAAACTGTTGTTCTTTTGAGGCCCTCAAGGTGGGACTCGCGGAAGAATCTCGGCTCTAAACTAAAGACCATCTACAGATTGGACTTTTTGTTTCCAGTTGTGAAAAAGCCGGCCTCACCTTGGCCACAAAGGTTCCTCCAGGTTTGAGGACGTGGGTGGTGATGTTCAGAGCCTGAGAGACAAACAGCTGTCAGTACAATGTCACCAAACACCTGGCAGGTAAATACGCCAAGCGTGTACTTACGGCCAACAGGAGCTGAGCTTGGATGTACTCGTCCACGTCGTGAAGTCCCGTTACTATGGAAACATAATGATGAGAAAATAAACAAAAAGGCGAACAGGTGGAGAGTGAAGACTTAAGGATGTGACGATGCTCACCGTCTGGAGCTCCATCGCACACCACCAGGTCCGCCGGTCGCCCCTCGAAGTGACGAATTATCTCCTGGGCCGTCGACACCTGAGAGGAGGAGACGAGGGTCAGGTGACACAAACCCCTCACTGACTAAAGTGTGGAAATGTTGCTTGACGGTTGTCAGAAGGAGTTGAGTTAAACCTACATGTCGAACTATTGAGATGTCACCACGCTCAGAGAATATGTTGGGCATGACTCTGCTACTATCGCACATCTCATCCCAATATATGTCATTCTTAAAGGGATCCCTGATTAGTTGTAACATTAGACTTTATTTGATAAACATATAATTTAACTGTAAAATAAAAAGACTAAAAATACTGTAGGATGTTCAGTTTTGAAAATTTTTAAAAATATATTTTAACACGGACGAGGCCATTTTATTTACACACAAAGCATTCTGGGTAAATGATGACGTGGATAGGTCCTCGGTGTGAGCGAGCTATATCCACCCTGAAGGTTAATCTTGGACAACGTCTGACGATCGACTCTTAAATGAAACCAGAGAGCGTCGACAGAGAGAAGGTAGAAATGACTCACACTGTAACTGAAAATATAGATGGAGGACAACAGAGCTGCTTCATGGAAGAAGAACCTCAGCTTACCTGTTAGCCTTTGCGCTAGTGTCGACGCTATTGCCTTATATGTATAAGCTCTGTGCTAGCGCAACAAACAAGCTAAACTGAGGTCCTCCATCTATATTTTCAGTTGCATGCATTTTTTTGTTCCCCTCTCCGTCATGTGGATGGAGGACCTCAGTTACGAGAGGAGAATGTGTAGCGCTGAGCTAATACATATAGAGCGGGTAAAATAAGTATTGAACACATCACCTGGTCGTGGTCGGTTTATGGTGAAATGATGTTCTTTCCACTTCTGAATTATGGCCCCAACAGTGCTCACTGG